AAGGGTGAACCTGCTGACATTTCAGGGTAGATGTATGCTTGGAAAAAGTGCCCCCCAGAAGGGAAGGGGAGAAAAATAGTTTCAAACAGAGAGGGGGACAGACCCTAAGAGACTCTTAAATACAGAGAACAAACCGAGGGTTGATGAGAACAAACTGAGGGGGCAGGGGAGGGGGGCAAATGAGTGGTATGGATTGAGGAGGGCTCTTGTTGGGATGAGCACTGGTTGTTATATGTAAGCGATGAATCGGGAATCTACTCCCGAAGCCAAGAGCACACTGTATACACCGTATGTTAGCTAACTTGACAATAAATTATACTTAAAAAAAAAAAAGTGCCCCCCAAACACTTCAAAGAAAAGTAGTGAAACTAGCCAAAGAAAAAAGAATAAGAACACAGATTTCAATGGGATGCGTGCTTCTGAGGATCCAAGGGGAAGGGGCAGAACAGTGGGAGTGATTTCAAGAGAGAAAACATTAAAAGTAGCAAGAACAACTTGCCCAGGCATGGGACAGGCGGGGGCAAGCTGATAAGCTCTGCGGAAAATGGCATAAGGAGCTGAATCACCACTGGGACAGACTCCTCCCTTTTTCTCCATCAACAGAGCACCCATCAGCAGCCTGGCATGAGACCAGCAGCTGTGGGGGGAATGCAGAACAGAGCAGGATAAGTAACAGTCTCTTCCCCTGGGAGATGCACAGTAGAATCCTCAGGGACAAGATAAAAAGCCAAGTGGCTAAAAAGGTTGGACACGAATTTCAAGATTAAGCACTGAAAGCAAGATAAGGCCCTGAGAACCCAGCAGGGCAGACCCTGCCTTCCTCCACTCAGTACACAGGGAGGAGCAGGGCCAGATGCCTAAAGAGAATCACAAAGAAAGCACCAAAGACTGCAGGGAGCAGGAAAGCCAGAGCAAGGATCCAGGAGAAGTCATAAAGGGCGCCTGGAAAAAGATGGTAAGGGGAATGTGCTCCTTTATTAGACGGAGAGAAAGCCCAAGAGAAGAAAGCAGAGGTTGTGGATGTGTGTTTGTGCTTGGTTATGTATGGTATGCACCTACGTGGGCCTATCAACACACGCACGTGGAGGTGTGCATGTGGCAGACAGGTGTCTTCAGTGCCTCTGGATGGACCTGCCTGAGGCCATGTTGAGGGCGTGTACAACTGTGCTTTTGCATGGGTGTGAACCAGCCATCTGACCTCAGTTCTCTTGACCTCTGCCCCATGTGGTCAGTCTGCCTTATACACGGGGACAAAATAACCAGACTGTAGATTAGAGAAAGACATGGTGGTCCCTGGGAGCCTGAGCTCCCCAAGAACAGCAGGCTCTCTCTGCACGTGCAGCTGCCTTCACCTCTCTGGGCCATAGTCTCCTTACCTGTAAAAACATCTCAGCAGAAGCTTTCAACCCAGGGCGCACAGCACAGGTGCCACTGAAGTTTTGAAATAATAAGAGATGCCCAGGACCCACCCTTGCACCAATGAATCCCAATCTCTAGAAGAGCCTTCTAGGGGCGCCTGGGTGGCTCGGTTAAGCATCTGACTCTTGATCTCAGCTCTGGTCATGATCTCATGGGTTCGGGAGTTTGAGCCCCACGTTGGGCTCTAATGCTGACAGTGCAGAGCCAGCTTGGGATTCTGTCTCTCCCTTACTCTTTGTCCCTCCCTCACTTTCTCTCTCTCTCTCTCTCTCTCTCTCTCTCTCTGTCTCTCAAAATAAATAAACTCAAAAACTTTTATTAAAAAAAAAAAAAGAGCCTTCTAATAAAGTCCCTGCACAAGAGATTCAGAAACTGAGACTCAATAAAAATGACAAAGGGGCCCTGAGCTCCAGATTCCATTTCCTCCCCAGGAACTTGCTGGCAAGTTGGGAATGCAGTCATGATCTGATGGAGTCTCCCTGCATGGGAGGTTGGATTATCACACCCTAGCCAGCACTCCTCCGGAGAAAAGGCTGAAGTAAGGACTAAGGAAGACAGATCCCAAACACAAAAGACTCCTACCTGCAGGGCCCTGGAAGAACACTGACCAGGAGAAACCGACAGGATAAACCAGCTCTGCACTAATGCAAACAGCCTAAAGGATGAGCACCAGACACTGGTCACAGTAGGAGATCCTGGGGAGGAGAGCTGAAGGGCCAAGGACAGTGGTCAGAGAGAAAGAAGTACAGTTCTTGTACGTGCCTTTTGAATTTTGCATCATAGGACTATATTAGCTACCTTTAAAAATCACAGGGAGAAAAAATAATTGGCAGAGGCACAGGATCTGGGATAACCTGGCTGGATATGACCAGCATGTACACAATCTAGGTTTAGCTGACCAGCTGACCCCAAGCAGATAGTGTGGTGGCTGTCAAAATTAGCCTGACTTGTGACTTCACAGTGGACAGGGGGCACTCTCATTAAGCGGGGGGACCATCCCTCTATGATCTGTGAAGTTCACTCCTTGTCTGGCTCCCTGAGCTCTGGACTGAGCACCACATTCTGAGCAGTGTATGGACTGACACCTAAAATACACCCTGAAAAGAGAAATTAGGATGGAGAAGGGTCAGGAACCTGGGGCAAGGGTGGGGAAAGAGATAGTGTTTGTCAGTCTAGGCAAGGCAAAGATTGGGTGGGGCACCATTGTCATCTCCAAGTATCTCCATCGGCAAAAGAGAAAAGCTGTCCTTCCTGAAGACAGCTTCAGTTTGGTGTCCATGAACACTGCAGGAAGGTGCTTTTGGGGCTAAGGAAAAACTTCCTAGCCTTTAGAGCAGTCTCACAGCAGAATGTAGTGAGCTCCTTGTCCTGGGACATACTTGACCTAGAGGTCAAGTCCTGTAGGACCATCTCTCCATCAGATGGTGCCAAAGGGGTTCTTGCATCCACCAGGACACTGAACCTGGTGGACTCTGAGTCTGAGCCCACCCTGACTCAAGGAACACCCAAGTTCCTCAGGTACGAGTGCCAGGCCTTGTTGTGCAGGTTTTGTCCCTCAGGTGGTTATCCTGCTGTCACTCACCAGTGACACTGACCTAGAAGCAGTTGGGGCAGTGCCAGAGTAGCTTCCAATCCAGGGCTGCAGAGCATCTGATCAAAACCTGGGCCTGGAAGGGGTCTGGCAAGGCCAATAGGTGCACCCTTCCACCCTTTTTAAGAAACCAACATTTACTGAGTGCAGCTATGTGGCTGGTCAGGGGCTACTGTGGGAGTGAACAAGACAGACAGGTCTTGGCCTGTATTCTAGGGAGGAGACAGAAAATCAACAAGAAAAAAATTAGAAGGGATGAATGTTATAGAGAGATGGACTGGAGGGGGCTCTATGGAGGGGGCTCTATGGGGGGCTGGGAATCAAAGAAGGCTCTCTGAGGAGGTGACAGTTAATCTGAGCCCTGAATGACATCACCTTGTCTTGGGCATCCGGTTGACGAACAGCACTTGTGGTGTTCAACCACAGGGGCATGATGAGTCTCTGTTTCAGCAGATGCCCAGCTGCTCTTTGCTATCCTTTTCTCCCTTAGTGTCAGAAGCCTTTCCCCCAGAAAGCAGCCCCAAGACACCGCGAATCCCATAGGGACATAGTTCTGAAAGAGTTGGGTGAGGGGCAAAACCAGTCTCTAGAGACAAATGAGCCTGGGGCCATATCCGTGAGATGCAGATAAAAGCAGTGCTCGCTTCATTGGGTCTTTGTGAGCAGTAAATGAGTAAACGCATTTAAAGCATCAAAGCGCCCGACACACAGTAAGCGCTCAGAAAGTGGCAACTACCTCAATAGCCGTCAATAAATGTCAATACATGTCAAAAGTCTCTGGGTCTCTGGACTCAGAGGAGGCTGAGCCTCCCGGCGCCTCGGTTTCTCCCGACGTCCTTTCTGGCTGTGGCACTGCGTGCATTCAGGCTCTACAGGCTCACGATCTCCCGAGCCTCCCCACATCCCTGCGGCCTCGGCCAGGTTTACAGTCGATGAATCCAAGGCCGCGGGGTTGTGGGTGGTGGCAGCTGGAACCAGGTGCCTCGGGGGAGCCCACGCCCCGCCCTCCACACAGGATGGCCCCGCCCCAGTCCCCCTCCTAGCCTGGAGCGGGCCCGGCTTGCACGCTCCTTTAAGGCAGCCTGCGGGAAGAGAAGAGCGTGTTTCGCCCCCTCCGACGCCGCCGAGGTAGAGGCTTCACCTTTAAGGCGGCGCAGGGACTGCTGGGAAGGCCGGCGGGATGGAGGCGGCGGGACCGGCTCACGGCTGCCGGTCCGGGTGAAGCGGGGCGGGAGCCGGAACCTGAGCCGGAGCCCGGCGGGAGCGGGAGGCGCAGGTCTGCGCGGGCCGATCCGGCCGGGAGAGGGGCCTCTGGGTTGGCCTAGGGGTGGGGGCGTCGTGGGTGCGGCCTGTGGGAGAACAGGGCCGGTCTGCTGGGAGGGGGCGCGGTCCTGCGTGGCCGGGGGCGGGAGTTCGACCTTTCCAGGAGGAGGGGTCCTCGGGGCGTTGCGCCGACCTATGGGGAAGGGTCATTGTGGGCGCGGCCCCGGGTGGGGAGACGACGTAGCAGCCGAGATCTCCAGCTCCTTTAGGGGGAGGGTTCCCCCCCCTCCCCATGATCGGCCTGCCTGTTGGGGAAGGGGCCGCCCGGGCGGTTGGGACTGGATCTCCTGGAGGGACGGGGGTCTCCCATACGGGAGTGAGCCTGCACGATCCCCGTAGGACCGTCCTCCGGTGCTCCCTGTCCTGGCTAAGGGAGTCGCCGGGGCAGTCCCGAGTCTGGGCCGCCTGAACCGGCCTGAGCCCGTGGTCTGGACCGAATCCGGGTCCGGCCTCACCGCATTGCGTCTCCCCGGCCGAGACGACCTGGGCGCGCCCCCTGTAGGCCGAGCGCGGGCACGGTGCGGGCTGTCGGCTGGGGGACCCGGGCACCCTGGGGACCCAGGCGTCCGGGGACTGAAGGTGTTTACCTAATCCGGGGTGGACGGCGGTGTGGCCCCAGGCCCGGCACCCGCCTGCCCGCCTCCTCGCCTTCACAGGCGGCACAGCCATGGCTACGATGGTGCTTCCGCGGGAGGAGAAGCTGAGCCAGGATGAGATCGTGCTGGGCACCAAGGCCGTCATCCAAGGCCTGGAGACCCTGCGCGGGGAGCATCGTGCCCTTCTCGCTCCCTTGGTAGCACATGAAGCTGGCGAGGCAGAGCCCGGCTCACAGGAGCGCTGTGTTCTCCTGCGTCGCTCCCTAGAAGCCATCGAGCTGGGTCTGGGGGAGGCCCAGGTAGGCTGGTCTGGGATGCGAGGTGGGAGGTCAAGGGAGGGATGGAGCCTGACAGAGGAAACCTGGCAGTGTAGGAACAGAATCTGAGCAGGGAACCATGTGGCCTCTGGAGCCCCATGGTAAGATTCCAGTAATATCTGTTGAACAAACAAATGGGCTTTGGAGACCCCAGCTGTGCCTTGCCTCAGGAGAGTCTGATCATCCTTTAGCCCCGACACAGAACCCTGTTCGTGGCTTCTCTGATGGGTAGTAGAGACTGAATGACATAAGAAAACAAAAAGGAAATCCTTAAGAACCGCCCCCGCCCCCATTCATTCTCTTATTTGTTCCTTCACAGGTAAGTTACCAAGTGCCTACTATGTGCCAGGCAATCTGTTATGTGCCAGACAGACAGCCCCAACAAGACAGACGGGTCCACTGGGGAGAGAGTCAGAAACACATATACATTTGTTACATATTGTGATAAGTTCTTCAAAGAAAAGAACAAGGTCTTGGATAGCTTATAAGAAGAGGTGTAATTTGTTGGTCAGGCAAGACTTCTGAGGAAGTGACATTTAAACCACGACCTGGAGGAAGGAATGAACCAGCCTCCAGAAAAGGGAGGAAGGCGAGAGGTTGCGTGTGCAAAGGTCCTGAGGTAGGAAAGCTCTTGTAGTGGGAGAATTGAGAGAAGACCTGTCTAACTAGATCTTCATGGGGAAGGAGAGGGAGAGAAGAGTCCTATGGAGAAGGCAGGGACCAGATCATGCTGCACCTTATTAGTTTGGGTTGTATTCTCAGGAAAGCAGGAAGCCTTTGGAGGGCTTTAGGAGTCAAGAGACACAGTCTGACTTAGATTTTGAAAGGTCCCTTCGGGGCACCTGGCTGGCTCGGTCATTAGAGCATGCGACTTGATCTCAGGTTTGTGGGTTCAAGCCCCACGTTGGGTATAGAGGTTACTTTTTAAAAAATCTTTAAAAAATAAAAAAATGAGTAAAAATTCCCTTTGGCTGAGGTGTGGAGAATGAACTTTGGTGAGTCAAGGGTGGAGGCAGGTAGCAGGTAGTTAGGAAGGCACTGCTGGAATTCAAATGAGAAACAGTAGCTTGGACTAAGGGGTGGCCACGAGGGAAGCGAGAGGACCAGTTCTAGATGTTCTGGAGGTGGGTCCAGCAGGACCTGGGGATGAAGTAAGGGAGAGGAAGGAGGGCAGAATAACCCAGATTTGTGGTTTGAGCAAGTGAAGGTGATGAGAGAGCCTAGGTGATCAGGGGTTCGGTTTTGGTCCTCTTAAGTTGGGGCTGCCAGGACGAGGTGCAGATGGAGATATTCACGAGGCACTGGGGTACACAAGGAGTACACGCTTTCTCTGGGGGAAAGAGTCTTGGCCCTTCAGATCTTGGCTGAGACACCGCCTGGCTCTATGCATCCTGGGCAGGTGGTAACATCTCGGTTTCCTTGTCTTTAAGGATCATGCAATCTGCTGTATATATACTTCCAGGCTGTGAAGGGAATTTTTCAAAAAGCTAGTGGTTGTGAGCACACCTGTCACTTATGCATTTTGCTAATGAATAGAAAGTGCAGGGTGCCAGACAGCTTGGTCCTGTGGCAGGACAGCCTGCTGGTCATTCCCTCCTTGGCCAGGTGGCTGCCTGGCCACCTGACATAAACACACAGGGGTCCCCCTCCTGGTGTGCACACGCACCCACACAGATGGGTAAGAGGGTGGCACGGAGGGAGAGGAAAGTGCCTTCCTTTCCTGGGGCTGCAGAAACGACCCTGGCTGTGAAGGATGGAGAAAGAGTAGATCCTATGCAAGGCTCCCAGGCAGGAAGAGCCTAAATGCTCAGGAAAAGAGTCCTAGAGGTTGGAGAGAGGGGTAAGGACAGAAGCTGAGGCCTCTGGGTCCCCTTCCCCTGTGGTTCCCAGACCATCTGAAGGCTTGGGACATGGACACCTCTCCTCTCTGGGAACTGCAAAAGGGCAAGGGCTTACCTTGGCAGAAGTCAGGATGGGGCCTTTCAGTGGCCCTTCGGCCATTTATCAGAGTTCTTAGGAAAGTGCTAGCCCTGGAGCAGGGGGCAGTGCTATAGCGGCTGTGGCCACAGGGCTTGAGTCCAAGCCCCAGGAGAGACAAAGGAAGAGAAAGGCTAATTCAGAGAAAACGCAACACCCCAACAAGCCGTCTTCATGATAAACCCAGTGAGATGGGAACTGGTTTTTTGTTTTGTTTTGTTTTTTTTAAGTTTATTTACTTATTTTTAACAGAGAGAGAAAGCACGAGTGGGGGAGGGGCAGAGAGAGAGAGGAGAGAGAGCAAGGATCCCAAGCAGGCTCCAGACCATCAGTACAGAGCCCGACGTGGGGTTCGAACCCCCGAGCCTCAAGCTCATGACCTAAACCGAAGTTGGACGCTTAACTGAGCCACCCAGGCACCTCGGGAACTGGATTTTTAATGCAGAGGACTAGCTGGAGGCCCAGGAAATGGCCTGAGATGGACTATCTCAGAGTCCAGCAGAGCCGGCCTGGGAGCCCAGGGCTCCCCACCCCAGAAGGAAGGAACTGGGGGTCTCCAAATCTCCTGGGTTTAGGTCTTGGACGAGGGTCCGTTTGGGGCCTTGCGGGAACACTCCCTTGATGATCAGCCCTGTAGCTCCTCATAGGCAGGGCCAGGCCCCAGTACCCCGGGAGGCCCAGGCTGGGGGTGCACAAGGCTCTAACCCTCATCCTGGCTGGCCGGCACAGGTGATCCTGGCGCTGTCGAGCCACCTGGGGGCCGTGGAGTCGGAAAAACAGAAGCTGCGGGCTCAGGTGCGGCGCCTGGTGCAGGAGAACCAGTGGCTGCGCGAGGAGCTGGCGGGAACACAGCAGAAGCTGCAGCGCAGCGAGCAGGCTGTGGCCCAGCTGGAGGAGGAGAAGCAGCATTTGCTGTTCATGAGCCAGATCCGCAAGCTGGATGAGGACACATCCCCCAGTGTGAGCCCCTACGGCCATCGGGCAGGGGGGCCTGGGAGGGGGAGGGGCAGCGTGGCTGGCTCTGACCCAGCCACTGACACTTGGGCTACGGCGCCCCGCCTTCCCTGACACGCGTTTTGTCCTCCTCCCCAGGAGGAGAAGGGGGACGTCCCCAAAGACTCTCTCGATGACCTGTTCCCCAACGAGGAGGAGCAGAGCCCAGGTGCAGAGGGACAGCTGGTTCTGGGGGCAGGGGGAGGGAGGGCTGTGTAAACTCCTTGTCCTTGGGACCCAGAGGTCACCAGAAACAGGGACCAAAAGGCAACTGTGTTCTTTCCCGCCTCATTTCTGATCATCACATCCCAGCATGTTAGAGTTTTTCATTTTTTTTTTTTTTTTGAGAGAAACAGAGCATGAGCGGGGGAGGGGCAGAGAGAAGGGGAGACGCAGAATCCGAAGCAGAGTCCATCCAGGCTCTGAGCTGTCAGCTCAAAGTCACGAAGCATAAGGTCACAACCTGAGCTGAAATCAAGAGTCGGACCCTCAACACACTGAGCCCCCCAGCATGTTAGAGTTTAAAAGTACTTTTCTCCCCCTAAGCCTTGAGGAGCAGTTATCACAGTTCAGAGCTTTGGAGCTGCCTAGCCTAGGTTTAAGTCCTGCTCTGCCGCCAGTTGTTCTGGGACCACAGGCTTCTTTCCCTCTCTAAGCCTCTGAGGGTTAACGGAGGATGTGTGCACAGTACTGAGCCCTGGGCCAGCGCTTACAGTGTCAAGTGTCCCTTCTGCAGATGGGAGGCCGAGGCTTGGAGGTTAGGTGGCTTGCTCTAGAACACATACCTTGAGGCATTGCAGCCCGGATTCTACCCACTCTACAGATGGGGAAACTAAGGCAGAATAGTAAGTGACTAGCCCAGGGCCACATGTCAGGTAGGCCAAAGACATGGCTGGTGTGTGCCAGCTCAACCCAGTTGGTACATCTTATCTGCCCTTGGCCTTGCAGCCCCCGGCCCTGGAGGAGGGGATGTGGCTGCCCAGCACGGGGGCTATGAAATCCCAGCACGGCTCCGCACCCTGCACAACCTGGTGATTCAGTACGCCTCACAGGGCCGCTACGAGGTGGCCGTGCCACTCTGCAAGCAGGCGCTCGAGGACCTGGAGAAGACATCGGGCCACGACCACCCTGATGTTGCCACCATGCTGAACATCCTGGCTTTGGTCTATCGGTGAGGGCTCCTCTGGCCACAGTCGTCCATGGGAGTGCCTGCACACTTTCTGAAAGCTCCAGCCCTGGTCACGAACCCTTAGGCCCTGGTGACGGTCAGGACTCAGCTCCACTGGGCAGTTGGGCAGAGAGAAGGAGCATGTGTCCAGAGGGTGCGGAGTCCACAGGATGCCTAGGCCCCTGTGAACCTGGGCTACAGATGTGAATAAGGCTTAGTCCATTGGAGGAGAAAGACTTGGGCGTAAGTAGGGACCAGGGCAGCACATGAAGACCCTAAGGATACCAGGGAGTCAGCACTGCTTCTCCAGGCATTAAGGCTTAAGTAGGATCTTTGGTGAAAGATGAGTTGCCCAGAACATGAGAGTGTTGGAAACGTTTCCCCTGGCAGAAAGAGGAGTATGAGCAAAGGCCCTGAGGAATAGACAACAACGTGCCCTGGGCACGAGGCAGTGGGGTGGGGTGGCAGATCTAGGGGAATCTGGTTCACACCCTGGCACTCTATGCCCTGGTGAATTGTGAGTGAACTGTCCAAAGTCTCCCGCCCCAATCTGCTGGCTGAACGGGTCTCCCAAAGCTCTGGGTCATAATCATGCCCACTCACCAGTAACTACAAGAGGAGTGACCATGGAGATCTGAGACCACTAGGGGGAGGGCCTTGGGCTGGAGGACAACCCTTACTTACCATGCTTCTACCTGCACCCAGGGACCAGAACAAGTACAAAGAGGCTGCCCACCTGCTCAACGATGCCCTGGCCATCCGTGAAAAGACACTGGGCAAGGACCACCCGGCTGTGAGTGAGGGCGGGGGGGGGGGGGGGGGGAGCCGCCCCTGCCCCAGGCAGCGCCCTGGGTCTTTGACCTCCACTCTCCCACCCACCAGGTGGCTGCAACGTTAAACAACCTAGCAGTTCTGTATGGCAAGCGGGGCAAGTACAAAGAGGCCGAGCCACTGTGCAAACGGGCATTAGAAATCCGGGAGAAGGTGAGAGCAGGCAGGGCTGGGCAGCTCAAGGCTGGCACGTGGGGGCCCAGGCCAGCCTTGAGCCCAGCCACTGGCTCCCACTCCCATCGCAGGTCCTGGGCAAGTTTCATCCAGATGTGGCCAAGCAGCTGAGCAACCTGGCCCTGCTGTGCCAGAACCAGGGCAAAGCTGAAGAGGTGGAATACTACTACCGGCGGGCGCTGGAGATCTATGCCACACGCCTCGGGCCTGATGACCCCAACGTGGCCAAAACCAAGAATAACCTGGTACCGTGGGCCACGAATGGGGTGGGAGGAAGGAAGGAAAAGGCTCGACTCCCTGCATTCTGCTCACCCTCTGGCCGCTTCCCTCCAGGCCTCCTGCTACCTGAAACAGGGCAAATACCAGGACGCAGAGACCCTGTACAAGGAGATCCTCACCCGGGCTCATGAGAAGGAGTTCGGCTCTGTCAATGGTGAGTCTGTGACCACCCTGTGCCCCACCCCCCACTCACGCAGCACAGGCCCCCTCAGCCATCAGCATCCAGGGTAAATACCTCAGCTGGACAGGCCCTCGTGGGGTCCGGCTGGTTCCCAGCCATTTGTGTGCACGTGTGAACACACACACCCAACGCACACGGCCTCCTGGGTTGTGCTGGTACTACACGCAGCTTTTGCATACGCCGTGCCCTGGGCCCAAAGTCTTTTCCCCTCCCCTGCTGGGCAATTCCTGCCCCTCATGAGGCCCCACTCCAAATGTCTCCCCCCCCGGGGAAGCCACCTTCTGGCCCCCCATGGTTGGTCATTTCCTGCCGTGTGATCCCTCAGCCTGGCCTATCATTTAGGCCTAGCACATGTCTCGGGCTGTGGGCTTGAGGTGTTTAAGGATCCACTGCCCCCAACCCTCAATCGCAAGCCCCACAAGCATAGGCCTGTGCCCTGTCATCTCTTTGCTCCAGAAGAGGGTCAGTAATGTTCTGAGTCTGTTTCTTTGTTCACCCATTCATTCATTCATTCATTCATTCATTCATACATTCATTCATCCAACAAAGCCCAACCCTGATCCTTCCTGGGTACCCCTGACCTCCTCCCCAGACCCCAGTCCTATGTTTCAACCAGGAGAAGCCTATATGGGAGGCTGGTGACAGCCCCCTTTCTCCCCCCAGGGGACAACAAGCCCATCTGGATGCACGCAGAAGAACGGGAAGAGAGCAAGGTAGCTCTATGGGCAGGGCTGGGGTGGCCTGGGGAGGGAGGGTGAGGCTAGGGATGTCTAGAGGGGAGGGACTTGTGCCACCTCTGCTGACCATTCCTTCCTCTTAGGACAAGCGCCGGGACAGCACCCCCTATGGGGAATATGGCAGCTGGTACAAGGCCTGTAAAGTAGACAGGTGAGGACAGTGGGGCAGGGCTGGCAATAGAGCAGCTGGCAGGCAAACAGCATCCTGAGCGGGGGCCAAGTCCAGGCTCTGGACTCCATCCTGCTCACCCCCAGAACACACACCTCTTCTTTGTCACCTTGGCTTTCAAGAGGCTTTCACGACCTGGGTCACAGGCCGCCTGTCCCAAAAAGGCTTTCTGTGTTGGGATGGCCGATTATCTTGCTCTTGGGTCTCCCAGCTTTTAGTCCTGGTGGCAGCATCCCACGTAGGGCTGGGGTTGGGGTGATTCTGAGCCAGGAGAGTCTAGCACAAGCACAGGGCTTGACACAGGAGGGGAGAGATCCTGGTTGGCTGGATGGCTCGTCAGGGCCCAATGTGGGCTGGATGGGCCTGGTTCCTGGGGAACATGGAGTTTGAGACTATCCCGCTCTCCCATCCACAGCCCCACAGTCAACACTACCCTGCGCAGCTTGGGGGCCCTGTACCGGCGCCAGGGCAAGCTAGAAGCTGCACACACACTGGAGGACTGCGCCAGCCGAAGCCGCAAGCAGGTGAGGCAACAGGCCCGAGGGGTGTGGGCAGGGACCTGTGTGGCCCTGTGTGTTCCAGTCAGGATTCACGGCTCCATCCGATGTGCCCTGCTTCTCCCTCAGGGCCTGGACCCTGCAAGCCAGACCAGGGTGGTGGAACTGCTGAAAGATAGCAGCGGTGGACGGGGAGACCGCCGTGGCAGCCGGGACGTGACCGGGGGTGCTGGGGCTCGGCCTGAGTCTGAACTCGAGGAGGCAGGGCCTGCAGCCGAATGGAGCGGGGTGAGTCTAGGGTCTTGGGTGGGCCAGGAGGCTGTGTAGTCAGTGTGGCATAGAGACAAACGTCTGCCCCACAGGATGGCAGTGGCTCCTTGCGGCGCAGTGGCTCCTTTGGGAAGCTCCGAGATGCCCTGAGGCGGAGCAGTGAGATGCTGGTGAAGAAGCTGCAGGGTGGTGGCCCGCAGGAGCCTCCTAATCCCAGGTGAGCCTCTGCCCCTGATCGCCCCCACTCCCCCCGCTGCCCACCCAGAGTGAGCCTCTCAGGAACCCACCCAATAACCCACCAACCCCAGAGGAGCTTCTGATCCACATGAACTCCCTTGTCTCTCTCAAGCTCCGCCACCCACCAGATCTGCTCCCTTCCCGTGAGCCTCCCTTTCCAGCCCCAACCTGACCCCTTCCCACGTCTCCCCCTCCCCCAGCCCACCCCATTCACTCTGGGCAAATCCAGGCATTCCTTTCCCCTCAGGATGAAGCGGGCTAGTTCTCTCAACTTCCTCAACAAGAGTGTGGAAGAGCCTGTCCAGGTATGGCTGGGTGGGTGTTTGGGCACTGGGTAGCTGAAGCCCAGGCCCCAGGGCCCAAAGGCTGCATGTCCTGTGCACTGGCCAAGCTTGCCAATCACGTCTACTTACCTAGCAACATTTCCAGCTCTGTGCCAGGCCCAGCTTTGGGCTGGACACAGGGAAGACAAATGAGGGAAACCCAGCTCCTGCCTGGGATGGATGTGCACGTGGCCAGGGCCAACACGGTAACCGCTGAGGTGGGCAGGAGTGTCAGAGCACCACGACATGGTCGGGGGCCCAGCTCAGGGCCTATGGCTGATCAGGCCCCTTCTGCCGGGGAAGTACAGACTGGCAGCAGCAGGAAGCTGAGCCCCCTGCCCCTTCTGCCCACAGCCTGGAGGCACAGGTTTCTCTGACAGCCGCACCCTCAGCTCCAGCTCCATGGACCTCTCCCGACGAAGCTCCCTCGTGGGCTAATCCTGAAGGGGCAGCCAGTTGCCAGAGCCTCCACCCGGCACTGTCCCCATCCCCAGCCCTTCGCATGGGCCTGCTGCTTGCCCCACGTGTCTTTCCCAAGGACCCCTGTCTTTTCTGTTCAATCTCAGGGTAACCTCCTCCCTTGTCATCTCAGCCCTAAGCCCTTTGGAGGCAGGGCCTGCCTGCTCCAGCTCTACCCCTTATTTATTCCATCCAGCAGGGCCCCCTCTTCTTTAGGTTCAGGGCCAGCGTGAGGGGGTGGCCAGGGTCTCCAAGGTAGAGACACAGCGGCCAGCCCTCCCCAGGCCCCGGAGACAAGAACACTGAGCACCTGCCGTCCCTTCAGCACTCCTGCCCTCCCCCCTGTCCCCCGCCCCCGGCCGTTGCTTCTGTATATAGAGAAATAAGTTATTGGCCGCGCCCCTCCCCTCAGTCCACGGTACTCCCCGGTTCTCCCCTCACCCTGTCCTCCTCTAGTGGTACCGCCCAGGCCTTAATCACCCCCATTCCGCGCGGTGGTATCTTCCAAGCTCTACATCTTGGGGGGCAGCGCCTCCCCAAAGGGTTCCCTGGGCCTTCTCGCGCTCCTCCTCGCCTCTGAGGGGCGCGTTGAGCCCCACCATCGCCCCGTGCCCAAGGACGGAGAGCCCTCCCCTTGCCCGTCCTCTCACCGCCGGGCCCTGCCCAGCATCCCGGCCTATGCACTGCCCCTCCCGCCCGGCCCCGCCCAGGCACGGCCTGACCCCGCCCCGGGCACCGCCCGTCGAGCCATCCTGCCACGCCTCATCCCACGCCTGCAGCTTCTCGCGAGGGGCAGTGATGACCCCCTGTGGCAGGAGGGGCTGTCCCTGTTGGGGGTGAGGCGGTCGCTTTCTATTTTCAAATGTTGCTGTAGAAATAAAGACCGTTTGAATCTGAGCCGGGCTTGTTTTGGAGCGGAGGTCGAGGTCTCCTAGCGTCTCTAGATTGGGGGTGAGGGCGGGAGAGGCTGCGAGCGAGCGAGCGAGCGAGCGTTTGTGTGTGTCTCTCACGTCCGGTCCCGTGCAGCCGAAGCCCAGATATTTTGCTCCTATCCCGGATTTGTTAGGGGGCCTCGCAAGTTCAGGGTTTTTTCTAACAACCTTCATCTCTGAGGTTCTAGAGACAGCGGTCTTTGAACTCTTCCCCTTACAAGGCTGTTTCACCTTGAGCGAATTACCGAGAGTCGACTTTTCCATCTATAAAATGTGGGTGACGACACCCTCCCGGGGCTGCATCTGAATTAACAGTACCAGCACACCAAGAACCCCAAATAAATGAACTTCTAATGCTAACAGCTCCGGGAGCTGAGAGGGTAGGGATGACCACCTCTGCCAGGCAGACACGAAACGTGTCAACCCCAGCCCTAAATTGAGCTTTCCTGGTGGGGACACAGTCAGGCTTCTGGGCGCTTTCATCAAGCCCGGGTACGGCTACGGGGAACGAACTACAAGCCCCAGAAGGCATCGCGCGGCGATGATGGGGCGTGAGCTAGGAGACACAACCTCGGGTTTACGCCTGCGCAGCGGGGGTGATTTGGGAAAAGCAAGGAGACTACAAGTTCCGAGAAGCAACGCAGCAAGACCCAAGTCGGGAATGTTTGCGCCTGCGCGTGGCGGGCGGGGCCTGTGGGGCGGAGCGGCCACCATCTTGGAACGGGAGGCGGAGCAGAGCTGACTGGGAGCGACCGAGCGGGCCACCGCCGCCGCCATGAACCCCGAATAGTGAGTGAGCCCCGCCCGCGCCGTCCGGCGCAGCCTCGATCCCGAGTACGGGGCTGTACGCTTACCGGGGTTGTCCGGCCTGGGTCAGGACTGCGCGGCGCCCCCACATCCGGGTCCCTCTTCCGCTGACCCCCCCCCCCACA